GCAACATAACAAAATTGAAAAAAGTGAAGGGGGTCTGAATACTTTCCGAATGCACTGTACAAAATATATTCAAAATGACATATTAAAAGAAATGTAGATATGTAACATCAGAAAATGAAAGGTTATTTATCACAATGTACATTGTGGCCATTGACTGCAAGTAGGTATATAACATTCTGCTTAAACTGCTCCTTTTCCTTTCCTAAAACTGGAATAATATTCACATAACTTCCTCCCAATTCCCTCCTTTCCCAGGGGATAAAAAATTTTTATGTTGAGAAAGTAAGTGATGGAAGGCCAACCAGCTGGAGCAAAAAAGGAAGGAAGGAGATGTGGAAAGGAAAGAATGAGACTGTGTTGGTTAAATATTGGTTAAATGGCTTCTTAAATATTTAGACAATTAAGAATTTTGGTTTTGCATTTTTTAAACTGATCATCTAAACATCTTAACTGATACTTGGGTTAAGTAAATGGATGGTTGACTATTCAAATCATTTAAAAGAAACTGAAATCTTACTGCAGTTCCTCACAAGATGTGCTTTTTGACAAGATAAATACTGCAGTGTACTTTTTAAATTCAGAATGCTGTATCTATCAATCCAACAATCAATTATGTATACATAAACATTTACACACACTTTAGTGGAACTATCTAGCTGTAAAGATTCCAGTACTTATTAAAACTATTTTCCTTTTTTCCATAACTATAGTCAAGATGGTATATGCAACATGAATTCATATTATCTTATTCTGCTTTTGCTGATTCTGTTTCTTAACTTACCTAATATAAAATATGTTGACAGTATTTCTTTAAAGAAAATATCACTATTATTTAGGACAACAGAATACTGTCTCATGGGATTACGGTTAAAGAATGAATTCTGAAAACAATGAATATTTAGTGTGTAAATAAGGCAGGATGGGAAAAAATGGGTAATTAAATAATCCAGTTCAAGGTGACTAAATTCCATCAGGAGTAGCATTTACTTCTTTTCTTCATTTCTTAAAAAATATCCACAGAAAATTGTGGTGGGCCAATGTTTTGCATGCTTACTATGCTAATTAATA